AATATTAAAATAAATCAGAAAAATAGATCTGATCTTCACAAATATCCATGGTGAATATAAGCAAGGAGAAAATGCTCCCCAAAACATGTAGACAAGGATAAGCATATTACAATCGCAAATTTTCCCCAACTGTCTATTGGGAAACACTTATCAAATTGATCAAGTTCATTGTTGGAGGAAATGCTGGAGATGGATGGCTACTTCTGCCCCGTTGGTGGGGATATAAAGACTTTATTGATAACATTAGAAGATACTGCTTGATGTTAATATGTGACCTTGCTATGCGATGGTCATGCTATAACTTTTGTTGTGAAAATAGAGCTATACATTTTATTAATTTTTAAAATTATTTACTTTCATTTTTTTCTGTGCATTGTTGTTGTGTCTGCCTGAGGGTGTCAGATCCCCTGGAACTGGAGTTGGAGACAGTTGTGAGCTGCAGTTGTGAGCTGCCATGTGGCTGCTGGGAATTGAACCCATCTCCTCTGGAAGAGCAGCCAGAGCTCTGAACCCTTGAACCATCTCTCCAGTCCCTTTTAATAAGCAAGGGCATTACTTTTTATCACCAGACCTAAGGTAGGGTGGGGCCACAATCCCCAAACGTTCTGCCTCCCAGTTATACACACCCATTAGTCACACCTCTCTCCTGCAAGGCTGCACAACCTCCCCTGCAGCAGCATCACCCAGTCAATGTCTAGACTGATGAGTCTGCTAGGGGGAACACTATATCCAAATCACAACACCACTCGAAACAGCATTTGGTAGGAACTGACTTAGTAGAGTGCTTGCCTCCCAAATGTGAGAACCTGAGTTTGACCAGTGATGCCCAGCGATCGCAATGTCTCCATTTCCCCAGTGCTAGGATTATAGCTATGCACCGCTACCCCTGGGCATCACTGGCCAGCTAGCCTAGCTTACTTGGTGAGTTCCAGGCCAGTGGCAGACCCTGTCTCAAAGAAGTGGCCAACCTTCCTAAGGATGATATGTGAGGTTTCCCTCTGACCTCCATGTGCACCTGTACATGGATGTGCACCCAACAACATAAAAACACATGCATATACATACATTCATAAAGTCAACATGTGTGTGGTGGGAAATTTAAAGAAAAAAAGTATAAACTCTCAGCAAAGGACAATGACAGCCACACCTACTCCAATAAGGTTGTACCTCTTAATCCTTCTAATCCTTCTCAAATAGTGCTACTCTCGGGTAAGCATTCAAATATACAACTCTAAGGGGGTGTTCTTATTCAAACTACCACAGTCAGTAATGATGGCCAGCGAGGCCACCAGCTCCAGAGCTTATACTGAGAGAGATTTGGTTTTAGGTGTGTGTGTGTGTGTGTGTGTGTGTGTGTGTGTGTGTGTGTGTGTGGTGTTGTTCACATGTATGCTGGTGCCTATGGAAGCCAGAGGCATCAGAGACCTTGGAGTTAGAGTTACAGGTAGTTGGTAGTGAGCTGCCTGGTGTGGGTGCTGGGAATGGAACTTGGGCCTCCGGCAGGAACACCAACTACTCTTAACCAGTGAGCCATCTCCACAGTCTCCTGGGGTTCACATTATCTGGGCTACCTAGGGCTCAGGAGGATCTTAGTTAGCCTTTTGGGCTTCTTTTTCTAGATGGGCTCCCCCATTTTCCAGTCCACACTGACCTCCCAGGCAACAAAAAAAAAAAAATGGAGAAGAAGAAGACCTTCTTAATAGCTCAGCATCAATTCCCAGGACCGAGAGGTCTGGTCTAGGTCATGTTCCTCTGAGACAGGGCAAGCCTCCTGAAAACTGAGTAGGACCACAGCAGACAGGGAGAAAGGGGAGTGTGTAAGGGCTCAGGCATTTGCTGGCCTGCCCTGTCATCTGGCAGAATGCACTCAGGCAGTACTCTGTCCAGCCCAGGGTTCCAGTCTGTTTGCAGATATAAAGGCCCCCTTTAAAAGACAGATCCCTGCCCACTTACGCTCTCTTTTTGCTCTCTCTTTTCCCACTCTCTCTTTCCCACTCACTTCTGCGTAGTTCCCCTGGGGCAGACAGGACTTTTCCTGTCTCCCTCTTCTCTTCTGTCCTCTCTCTGTCTCTTTACTATTTTTCTCTTTCCTTCCCCCTCCCCCTTCTAACAAAACTTATCACTTAATCTCTGTTTGCCTAGTGTGTTTGTCCCTCTTGGTCACCCTTGCCCGTCATGGAATCTGCCAAGGTCCTCCATGCGAGGTCCCCCTCAAGCTTTATCACAGCAGAGTTGCCTGTGATTAGGTTCACAGTAAAAGCAGGTGATGGATCCCAGATATGTGCTCAGTATTTGCCAGACAGGGAAGACATGGCTACCTCCACTCCAGCCTAACTGAGGAGTGAAGAGTGAGAATCAAGCTTCATAATTCTTGGAAGGATGGCATGAACAGTGAGGATCTAGAATTCAAAGACAAGGAAACTGATGAAGAAATGAGCAAGTGGGTCAGGACTGGAAATATAGCTCAGTGGTTATAACACTTCCCTGGCAAATGCACAACCATGGGTTCAGTGGTCAGTAGGTACACACATACACACACAAACACATGAACACAGAGAGAGAGAGAGAGAGAGAGAGAGAGAGAGAGAGAGAGAGAGAGAGAGAGAGAGAGCAAACACCAGTGTCAGCTGTTGCAGGCTGGCAAGGGAACAGCAGCCACCACTGTTTGTATGCATAGACCACAACAGGCATGGAGTAACGCTATCAGAATGGAGTTATCTCCACCTAAGTATATGCAGCTTCATGGATGAACAGACTGGTACATATCACATTGAAATCACTCAACCAAGAACCTACAGAAATGGAGCAGGATTCAGTAGTCTATAAACATGTGGACTTAACGAGATGGCCAAGGGGGCAAAGGTCACAGTCAAATTCATTTTCTCCCACAGGCAATCGACACTGAAAATGAGAATGTCTTTGTTGGTTACAGCCTGTATCACATATCTATAATTAAGGTGTCACAGTGAATACCCTGAAAAACTTAGGAGATGGGCCTCAGCAGAGAAGATGTCATTAACTATTGGACTGGTTCCAATCAGCTTTTAAGTATCATCAATATGGTGTAAAAGCAGTGCTGCTAGAAATTCCAGGGCGAAAATCCTGGAAGGATTTCAGATCTAAATACAAAGTCTCTGAAAACACCAGAGGGGAAACTTGACCTGACCTCGAATATACCACATATGGGAACTCCAGAATGACTGTGATTCTCTTGGGAATATCCAGTTTCCAGCGAGACCCAGCAGTGACCCTTCTTCCAGGAGATCAACAGAGTCTGTAGTTGAGGGGACAAACTGACTTTTCTGTTAACAAGACTTCTAACCTTGTACAAGAGAAAGAAAGGGAGAGTAAAGAGGAGCTGAATCTAGTTCTCTAGGATCCTGGAAAGAAAAGAAAACTAGGAAAGCGGGCTTATTGTTTAGGAAGGCCGTACAATCATCTGGTTGGCTGTTGCTCTTTGCCTCCAAGGATGCAGAAAGGCCAAAGTAACAACAGAAACAATTTCAGAAAAACTAACTGTTGACTATTTCTTCACCAATCCCAACAACATATAGATAATATTAAAGGTGCTCACTGACTAATTCAGACTTTCCTTCTGGGATGTGGTGCTGTAGTCAGCCCACTTCTCTGGCTTCCTCACACACCCTGGCAGGACACACCATGTTTCTTCCATATTCCCATAACCTCACATACAGCATTTCTGTATGGCACCTTACTGACACAACACTCCTACTTCTGCCCTCATCATTTGCTACAAGTAGCTGGTCAGAAAATGATGACTGGGTCTATGAAACACTTCTGGACATTTCTAATAGCACTGTTCTGTCTTCTATGCCTCGGGTCACTTTTGAACCAGGGGCACCTCACCAGTAAGGTCAGTTCTTACTCATCTGTCTCCATAGCCTGGCCTCATGCGTGACAGCTCTTAGTAAACAGCAGGTGCAACAGACGCTTGAATGGTTAAGCACAAAATTTCTTAGGTCATGACTCAACTAGGGGAAGAGTAGGAGAATAAATAGGATTATTGATAGAGGAAAATTCATGATACAGTGAAATGTAGATCGTGGGCACTGGGTGGTAGGGGCAACTGGCTGGAAAAACAGTCTAGTTTAGTTCCCACGGTATAGAGAGGGCCATTTTTTCACAAGCAGGGAGAGGAGGGATCACAGGAGACACAAACCAGGGGCTTAAGTCCAACAAGCCAGATATAGAGGTGGATACAATGTCTAATAGGCAGAAAAGCAAACAGTCTCAGAGAGGTTCCTTTCTTGCCCAAGGTAACCCAGTCTGTCAGTGTTAACAGACTCAATCGAAAGAAACAAAACACCAACATAATGATGGCAGTAAAACTTATTTGTAACAAATGGGGGCATGAGGACTGACTCCCAGAAACCAGAGCAAGCTGCAGCTTATTTATATGGGGGATGTAGTCTTTGGAGGCAAAAGGTGTCATCACATGCCTGGATGGGGAGCACAGTTTGAGTGCACGATCTTTCTACTTCTGAGTTACCAGTGCACACTACCCCAGGAAGCTTGTGAAATGTTATACTTCTGTAAAACAACCTTAGAGGTATTTGTTAGAAAAAACACAATCTTTGGGGTTCACCATCCTGCTTTCTGGTAAGCTGGGAGACATTAACTTTAACCTCAATAGTTGCTTCTCCCTGATACGGTGGTTCTTTGCTCTTCCTGGGACTGCCTACAATCCATCCTAGACTAGCAGGGCAAATCCTACAGAGCAGGAGTAGCCAGGAGACCGGGGTTTGGAAGCACCCGCTTGGACAGAAGGTTATTCTCTGCGTTTAGAGGCTGGAAACTGGATGTTCTTGGGCCGCGTAGCCAAAGGCAAGGCTAATTTTGATTGTTTAGGGTTTCCATAGCTCAGAATGACCCCGAAACTCACTGATCCTGAGACTGAAGATCAATATTTTAAAAGTTCTGGGCCAACGAAAACCGCAAAGAGAATACAGCTCCAACCAGGATGTCAGAGACTCCACCTTAGGGGCTGGCGCCGGAAGTTCCTGTCGTCACTTCCGTCGCACTGGCGGGCGCTGGGATGGACGCTCCGTGGGCTAGGGAGCAGCTCCGGCGGCGTTACCTGTTTCCTTCCGAAGCGGGGCTGGACTGCGAGGACAATGCCAGACCAGGTGAGGGTCCACGGGCTCTGGGTTCCGGGGCTTACCAAGTACGGCTGCGAGTAAGCGTCCCGGGTTCCGACAGGTCTTGCAACCCTCGCACCTTCCCCAGAGCGGCGCTTCCGCATTCTATGGAGCCGACTTAACACGGGTTTGTCAACATCCTTTGAAACTAAAACCAACCGTAGTTTCTTAGTCTGAAGGAACCTATACAAAGACGTGTGCAGAGTGTTCCATTTCAGCTTTTTGCTTGTAATACAGTAGCAAATGGAAATGTCTAGCTGCCTGTCAGCAGAAAGCCAGCTAAGTAAGTTTCGATTAGATGTGTCTCTGCCTGGTACGTCAGATAGGCTTTTGTATATCCCTGTGGACGGTTTTCAAAGGGAAACGCAGAAACAATGTATGGCTTACCACCATTTGAGTACAAACTACAACTAATGACATATTTTTGCTTGTATATGCACAAAATAAGGAAGAATTCCGTAGGAACTGATAATGTTGGTTGCCTATAGGCTGTAAGGATGAGACACAGTTCATTTGAGAGATATCCGACTTGGATGTTGTAAAACCTTTGTTCATTTATTAGCTTTTCAAAATACCGGCAACATTGTGCCAAGGCATGACAATATATGCATTTTGAGAATATCTTCAAGAACTTGCATTAGTACTCAACTCTGTCAGAATAGTTAGTACTATCAGAGTCCAGAGCTGAACCTCACTTGGAGACCAGTGGTCCTCATGTGACAATACAGAGAGGGCATGTCAGGATCCCTCATTTTGATTTGCAGGGAGAGAAATGACTTGCTCTCATCTGTGCAGACCATGCTTTGTTTTGGGGCTAGAGCTCTGTCGGGCCAATCTGTGTTTGAGCTACCTCAAAAGCTGATGTCTGTTTAAAATATTTTTGTATAACTTTTATTGTATTTGGCCTTCCGTGTGTGTGTGTGTGTGTGTGTGTGTGTGTGTGTGTGTGTGTGTGTGCACTTACTGGTACATGCCCTTTTGGAGGCCAGAGATTGACACTGGGCATCTTCCTCTGTCAGTCTCCATATTATTTTTTTGAGAGCATGTCTCCTGGCCCCAGGATGCACCTGTCTCTGACCCAGCAGAGGGGTGACAGGCATCCACTGCCATGTTCAGTTTCATGAGGGTTCTGGTGATGAACTCGGGCGTTATGTTTGTACAACAAGCACTTTACCTTCTCATCGCCATACATTTGACCTTTTTCTTAGTTAACATGACTAATTACCTTCCTAGAGGAAATGTGAAATACATTCCCGTACTTCTGCATGGCACTGCTGTATCCAAAAGATTACAAGGACGTAAATGTGATTCCAAAATCATTTAGGAGGAATAATTAATATATGGAGTGTATTTTCTAGTGAACTTGTATTAACTATTTCAGCAAATGTAAATCTGTTTTTGTTGTTTGCTTGTTTGGTTCTTGGCATAGAGCTCAGGGCCTCATGCATCCTAAACATGTATTCTACCACTGGGCTACATCTCTGCCCCTACATATAAAAACCTATCTTAGCCAGGCAGTGGTGGCTCACACCTTTGATCCCCAGAACTTGGGAGGCAGAGGCACGTGGATCTCTGTGAGTTCGAGACCAGCCTGGTCTACAAGAGCTAGTTCCAGGACAGCCTCCAAAGCCACAGAGAAACCCTGTCTCGAAAAACCAAAACCAAAACAAACAAACAAACAAAACAAAAAACCTTATTTTAATGGTCTTGTCCAATGAGCTGGTGCTATAGTGGGAGGGATTCTTGTTACTGAAAAGTTCTAGGAGATGACTTTATATGGCGTAAAAAACTGGTTAAGTTCGTAACTCAAAATCTCCCCTATTTTGCAGAAACCTCCACAACTGTTGAAAAAAAGGAGAAACCTCTTCCAAGATTTAACATTCATTCTGGATTCTGGATTTTGGCATCCATCGTTGTGACCTATTATGTTGATTTCTTTAAAACCTTCAAAGAAAACTTTCACACTAATAGGTAAGAAAATCTTGTTTCACCAAGCATAGTAGTGCACACCTGTAATCCCAGCACTCGGGAGGCAGAGGCAGGTGGATCTCTGTGAGTTCAAGGCTAGCCTGAGCTACAGAGTGAGTTCCAGGACAGCCAGGGTTACATAGTGAGACCAAAGAAAGAACAAAAAACATCAACAAAAACCCTTGTTGCTTCATGTTTTGCATGTTACAGTCTGTCAGTTGAATTCTCAGAATTGTTAAGACATGACTTAGTTGGTAAAGTACTTGCTGTTACATATGCCAACCTGATTTGATCCCCAGAACCTACATTTAAAAAAAGAATGCCAGGTGGTGGTGGTGCAATGCCTTTAATCCCAGCTCTCTGGAGGCAGAGGCAGGTGGATCTCCGTGAGTTCAAGGCTATCTTGAGCTACAGAGTGAGTTCCAGGACAGCCACGGCAGTTATACAGAGAAACCACGTCTTGCAAAATTTAAAAAAGGAAAAAGAAAAAGCCAGTTTGGTAGTGTCTGCCTGTAATCCCAGTTGAATCAGTGAACTCCAAGTCTGAGAAAGGTACCCAGTGTTGACCTTTGGCCTACACACACACACACACACACACACACACACACACACACACACACACACACACACACACACACACACACGGAGGTGGGGGGGGGAATGAATTCAGCTGTTGGTCTCTGTCAGATATGATATCGGAGGCAACTACTGATGGTACAGAACAGACTAAGACGTGTTAGCCAAAGGGTGCAGCCTTTCACATCTAGTAAGTTCTGGGGATCTTCCGATCTTAATTGTCTTCTTCCCATCTCACATGGTCCTCTCATGTAGCCCCACTTCTCATTACCCCATGTATACCATGTTAGCTGGTGATGTGCTGGCTATGTCAGTTAGCTGATTCTAGCGGTCATTTTATGATGTTGCATCCTGTAGATTTTCGCATTGAACGTATGCAATTTAAATTGTCACTTGTGCCTCCAGAAGACGGGAGAGAAAAGGCCTGAGAAGTGGAGGAGGCATGAGAACTGTGGCCTGAGCAAGGTGTGTTTCAGAGTAGTTAGGAAGGGGTTGATTAGAGGAGGTGACTCAGAGTTGCCTTGCAGGTCAGTGGGGAGGGTTTGCGCCAGGGTCTGAATCCTGGTGTCCAGTAGCCCTTCATACCCAGGGGTGGAGAGTCCTGCCCTTCATTCCGGGAGCTGACCATGGAGCAGAGTTGTGGATCCTGTGTGAATAGTTTGGGGGCCATCAGATATCAGAAGAGGGAGTATGTTGGTGACGTCACAGCTGGCACATGAGGGCTGTGTTTAGTGCCAAGAGCAGTGACTGGATATACCAGTAGGGCCATGAAAGATGGAGACAGGAGTTAGGTCTTGCTGAGTTATGGGAAATACAGTTCTCAAAGAGATCTTTAGGTCATAGGCTGCTTGTGGAAGAAACCAAGCAGACAGAAGGGATGGGCTGTCAAGGGCGTGAGGCATGAGGGAGTTCATGGAAATCCTGGGGCTTCGATGAGGAGGTGTTTCTTTGAATATCACCACCTCCCCATCCTGCCATCCTATTTACTCACCATTCCCTGGTGGGTCGTGTGATTGTCTAAGTGAGTTGTAGATGAAGAACTGAACCCAGCACCATTTCTTGGGTGTCTGCATCCTGAAGGAGGCCAACTTTTCTGGCTTTCCATGCTTTCATTTTGCAGAGGCAACACTAACACGGTGGAGGTTTTCATTGTGGTCTGGAACCTAGGAATAAGTCTGTCTGTCTGTGGGTTTTAGAGTCAGCAAAGGTTTTGTTACCATTCTCCAAAGCCATGCTCTTCCCTCAGCTCCGTCAGTGACAAATTGACACATGATTTTAATCAGCCAGCAAACTTCATCTCTCAGCCGGTTTAGAACTTCCGGGAGAGAGGAGATTACCTGAATGCCCCTCTAGCATCTGCTTTTTCCTTAATTAGAACTTGGGAAGAGCCCAGGGTGGGTCTGGCGTGGAGGCGGGGCATTTCTGATTTCAGCCGTGCATTTTCTGCTGTAGCAGACTCCTTTCCAGGCTGCATGGTCCTGCTGGGTGTGTGTGTGTGCAGGATGCACCTGGGAGTGTTGCCCAGAGAGCCTGTGCTGGGAAGGTAGGCTTTTCAGGACTTTAGGTGTGCATCCCTTTATTAGGCTTTCCTAGAAGTGGGCATTAGAAATGGTTCCACACAGATGATGTGTTGGATTAACTACTGCAAGAAGTGGGGGGGGGGCTTGGGACCACATGCCCTCCTGTGACAGAGACAGTATAGATGTCAAACCAGGGTGGGGCTGTGAGGATGAAAGTTGAAACCATAGGCCTGACCACAGCACAGTGTGCTTGTAGAGGCAAAAAGGCGTGACCACATACCCAAGGTCTCTGCTGCTGCTGCTTCCAGTGCTCTCAACGCTTTCTTTGTCTTTGTCTCCACAGCTGGTTCCTCTTTGGCGGGGCCTTGCTGTTTGTCAGCCTGTCAATTGCATTTTACTGCATAGTCTATCTGGAATGGTATCGTGGGATTGAAGAATATGATGTCAAGTACCCAACGCTGGTGCCCATCACAACCGCAACTTTCATTGCAGCAGGGATTTGGTGAGTGGATGTTGAAAAGTGGAATGTGAGCGGAAAACTATCGTTTTGTGGTCAGGTAATGATGACTGTAACCCAGAACCTATGTTAAGCAGCAGAGTGTCCCAGGGAAAAGAGATTCCCGGGTACTCTGTTGTTTGGGGTCTTATTTGAGCCTCTGCACATGCTCTATGGTTTGGTTACTAAGTGTCTTTCATTGTGGTAGATAAGACACAGAAGGAAAACAAGGGTGGCTGAATGGATCAATCTTGAGTTGAGCACTGCTGCAGATCTCACTTAGTCAGGGAGGAGCAGGGCCAGTGTCCTGGTGGTCGTTCCTGACCCGTGGCTTCACTGTACCTTCCTGCCACATGCAAACGCTGCCCCGCTTTTGCAGTCATTACTTTTGTATCCCATAAACACTGTCTTTTTGCCTGCGTTTTGAACTGTAGGGAAGTTGATTTGCACGGTCACCATTCTTTGACATTTAACCGCGTGTGCGAAGTGTCTGCTGTTCACTTGTGGTTTTCTCCCAGCAGTTGCTCATTGCCATTTGTCACCCCACTGTGTAGCTGAATCCTAGTGCATCTGGAAGCCATTAAGAACACTCCTGCTCCCTGTTGAACTTACATGTGTGCGCACACCCAGAAGGGAAGTCAGTGCGCCACCCAGGTACACATCTCCAGCTTCGTTAGACAGCATCAGACTTCTCTCAAGTGGTGGAGCTGCCTTTTTTTATCTGCGGGTCCATAGTCATGGGTTCAGCCAGCCACGGTCCCCCAAAGTGAATGCTATCTGTTGAGCATGTACAGTCTTTTTTCTTTGTTGCTCTCTAACCAACAGAGTTCACAGTGTGCGGCACCATCAGCATCCTAGACGTATGACATAAAATGTGGGGGAAGGTGCAGGTGATCTGCAGATACAGTACTTAGGGTGCTTAAGCATTTGGAGATTTTGTGTCTGCAAGATCTTGGAGCTAATGATCCCAGGTTTGAAGGAACACCTGCCCCCTTTTGCGTGTACCTAGTGCACAGTGTAGCCTGTTTTTCTTCCACAATAGAAGTAGCTGTGCATTTTCAAGGTTACATGTCTTCCACAATGCACATGCCAGGACTGCTCACCCCTTCCCTGTTGCATACACAACAAGTTTTATGCTCACACAGTGCCAAGTGACTCCACCTCTGTAAGTTCATAGGTGCTCAGTGAAGAAGAAAGGCTGGGGGAAAAAAGTAATACTTGCTCACTGAAGAAAAACACATAAATTACAGGAAAATATCTCTCAATTAGAGAAAGCCAGGCTTTACCTCTTTGGCTTTTCTTTATGTAAAGAATTCTGACATTTGTAAAAGTCCTAAATGTAGGTGTATATTCCACTTACATGTACTTTCTTTGACCCAAGTTCAGCTCTAGTTGGTCTGCTTGCCACTGTAAGGTCAGTATTGCCCCTTCTGTGGTAAGGGTGGACCAGCCAGGTTCTTTCACTCTGTCTCGTGAAGTGGGAGTGTCCCAAGAAATGTCAGATTGGTTTTAGACCTGTGGCTTGTGATTATTTGACATCCATATTTATCCAGGATTATATATTAAAACCCATAGCTGACTGGAGAGTTTATTTAATTTTTTTATAGTTTTCCCTGGTAGCTTCTACTCCTATCAGATCAGTCACTGAAATTCTTTTGCTTTTAGAGTTTTTTTTTTTTAATTTGGTGACAGGAATATTGTTTTGATTGTGTTTTGCTTTTGGAGACAAGGTTTCTCTGTAGCTTTGGAGACTGTCCTATAACTTGCTCTGTAGACTAGGCTGGCTTTGAACTCCTCTGCCTCTGCCTCCAGAGTGCTGGGATTAAAGGCGTGTGCCACCACTGCCTGGCAGGAATACTGTCTTTTGCAATGGAGACTTTATAGCATTGTGTACGCCATTGCATTTTCATTGTGTTTTAAGAGCCATTTCATGTTTTTCTCACGATGATGCCTGAGATCATAAAGCAGGCTGCAGCTATTAATTTGTGGTCCACCCCACATGCTAACTTGTAGTTGGAATTTTCTTTGTGCTGCCGACCAACTTCCCAAATAAAGACACTTAATCTCCCTGCCTGCAAGTCCCACCTACACCTCCTCCTTCACTATTGGCCAGTCCGCTTTTTATTAGACTACTCAGGTGCCTTAGGCAGGCAAGATAAAACAGCAACCAACATATCTTTACATAGTTAAACAAATAGTCTGTAACATTTTCCCCTTTTTATCTAAACAAAAAGAAAGGGTTTAGCTTTAACATAGACTACAGTAAGAACAATTATCAAGAATTACATTTACTATATCCAGTCTATTTGCATTTGACAAATTCAGAGAAAATATCATCTTGGTGAGTCCAAAGTTCTGTACCTAATTGCTTTCTAACTTGTATTTCCAACCCCAAATTATCTTTTTAGGCCTCAAAACATTTTCTTAGAGGAACAATTTAAGCTTTTATGTTTCTCAGCCTTATAAACTTTACATCTCTTATGTAAGTTTTTTGTTTCTGAATTTGGTAACAAGAAAAACTATAACTTTCTCATCTTCAACTCCATCAGAGATCTGAGAAGGATATAATACTACTTGAATAAACAGGAATTGCAGAGCAAGCAACTTCCAAAACTATATAGAAAGGACAGAAGCAGCTAGCTTCCTGAACAATTACCCAAGGTTCTTGTGCACTTGGGAGTGTTGTTATTTTGCTCAGCTGCAGGCGATGAAACACAAACCACAAAATTCAACAGAACCCACATGTAGTTTATTGGAGGAAGGGAGCAAAGCGAGGGGTAAGTGTTGGCCGACCCAGAACAGAGATGGAAGGGGAAGGGGAAACAAGAAGGGAAGGGGAGAAAGGAAGAAAGGGGGATAAGGGAGTAAGGGGTGAACAGGTGGGAGGTGCTCACTTAAAAGGGAAAGCTTGCACATGTGTACAGAGTCCTTATGCAGCTACATAACGCATGAAGTAGCCACGCAACACAGGGACCTTTGAGCTGTCTAAGTGTCTGCCTGAATGCTGTTGTGCCTATCCTGCCAGTTGTCAGGGGACAGGGTCAGCATAATGCCAGGATATCAACAGGGAGGCAGAAGCAGGTGGATCTCTGTGAATTTGAGACCAGCCTGGTTTAAGAGAATTCCAGGACAGCCTCCAAAGCTACAGAGAAACCCTGTCTTGACCCCCCCCAAAAAAAAACCCAGAACAAAAAAAGCAGTATTCCTGTCCCCAAATGAAATAAAACACTTTGTAAAAGCAAAAGAGTTTCAGAGTTTTAGGTCTAGAATATCTGACTTTTCCATGAAGCAGGAATTTTGAAGGACTGTCCCACCTTGTCTTGTCTTGTCTTGTCTTGATTGGTAGTCTTTTTCCTTTGTGTCTTGCTGGTCCAGTTTGTACAGTATACTGTGAGCAGTTGGGGCAAGGGCAGTTTCTTGCCCAAATGGCCAGCTTTGCCACACTGAAAGTGAACTCCATATGGAGTTTCTTCAATGCCCATCTCTTTTATGAAGTACATTGGTGAAGACATGTGTCTCACTGTCAAGAAAAACCTTAGGTTATTTAACATCTTAAATGTCATATTCTGTAGGTTTCTGAAGTATTTGAAAATCACCTGCCTAAAAATATACCTGTTTAACCTTGAAAACATACTTAACATGGCTATGAGCTTGATTGTTATAGATGGCTAACTACTAACCTGCATTTTAAAATTATCCTAAACAGTTCATAATAATAGCTTTCAAGGACTAGAATTTTGTATTACATTTTTAAGTGAGTTGCATAGATAAAATATCTTAAACAAGAGTAGAAACATATATATGGTATAGCAAAAATAACCTTAAATTTGTATCAACATACAAAAATCCATAAAATATTTGAGATAAATAGTTATCTTTTTATCCTGTATCCCCACTAAATCATGAAAAACACCAAAATGATAAACCACCCACCCCACCGCTTGGGAATGTGGGCATTGTGTTTTCTAGACTGCTTCCTGTTGTCTGCAGGCAATGGCACCCCTAGGGAACTCTTAGAAAATTGAGATAATGGTCAAGTCCTGAGAAAACTAGCTATAACATTTGTTGTTCATTCTCTGTGTAATGGGAAAGTGTAAGGCTTATCAGAAGTCCTGGCTAGAACAGTCTGTGAGACTGGACCATCTCAACTAGCAGCCATGAAGTTATTATGAAATTAGAACTCTCAGGAAGCTGTAACAGAGGCACTCTGAAAGGCTGGATCACCTGGGCCACCCTTTTTTATCGGTGTCTGGTCTCCTTTGAAAACACACAAATTTTCAAAGGTAACATACAGATCTGCATTAACACAAGTAAGGACTGTGTGTTAAACACAAGCCAATCAGAGATCATTTTCTTGTTTTATGTTTGAGCAGGTAAAAGACATCTGTCAACTTTATAAGTTTGTTTGGACTGTATAATCAAACCTCGATCCATACCATATGAAGAGATGGCATGTAATAAGTCATAAGGACTCTGTAAACGTCAAGATTTATCATTTCTCATCCAGTCTCAGAGCTGTTTTCATGTCAAGGGATCAGCATATACAACACCTGTCCTGCAGTTTTCCTAGTTTTATTTTATTACACCTGTAGCCAAGATTTTCAAGGGTTCTTCCCCAATCAGATCTGGTCTTTATTAATTTTGAAGACATCCACAGACTTTCATTTCCTGTGGGAACAAACACATAACCTCTTCTCCAATGCATGTATTTTCTAAATTCCATTTTAAAGGTAAGACATCCCTAAAACATTTAGGCTGGTTTAATTCTGCAATTCCTTTTACAATTCCATGTCTCTCAGCAGCTGTTGTTCACTCATCAGCATTCAAAACATTCAATGTCAACAAAGCAACATACAAGATCCATGCTCCCTGTGTATGTGTGGCTTATTTTTTTTAATGTTATTTTACTGTTTCTTTACTTATTTTTAAACTACTTTTTCCTATGATGGTCTGTACCCATTTTCTTTCTTAAGCACCTATGCACATGTAATCTGTTAAAAGTTTTTTTCAGTCTGGACTTGTTTTACTGTCCACCTGTAGTGTTCTCTGACCGTGTGAACCAAGCTTCAAACTGCTAAGTGGCAGCTAGGCCCTCTGTCATGTGGCTCTGGAAGTTGACTCTGCTGCCTCCATGAGAACCACGCCATAAGCCCATGGCCCTGGCAGAGAACTTCGTTTAACTGGGAGCTGCATTTTCCCAAGAGCTTCATTTAACCACCCCAGCTCTAGGACATTGGTGCCTGCACTGTCGCAGGTGTTTTTACTTAGCTTGATGTTTCTATTTAGCCTACCAGCTGTTCAAGTTTTCTGCTGCACAGCAGAGCCTCTTAAAGGAGTCATGTCCTTTTTATTTTTTCCCTTCCTGCCTTTTCAGGTCCTATGAGGAAATTAGTGCCCCATGTTGGGTGCCATTTGTAGTTGCAGTTTTTCTATGGGCCACCAACCAGCTTCCCAAATAAAGACATGGAGACTTATTAATTATGAATGCTCAGCCTTAGCTGAGGCTTGTCCCACTAGCTCTTGATTTAATCTGTTTCTCTTCATCTACATTTTGCTTTTTATCTTTCATTCTGTATGTCCTACTTTCTTGCTCCCTCCATGTCTATCTGTCTGTCTGGCCCCTGGTATCTCCTGGGCATCTTCTCTTCTTTCTTCCCTGAGCCTAAGTTCCTTTTACTTACTCTCCCAGCCTGCAAGTCCTGCCTTTACCTCTTCCCTTGCTATTGGCCATTCAGTTTTTTATTAGACCAAACAGGTGCCTTAGGCAGGCAAGGCAAAGCAACTACACATCTTTACATAAGTAAACAAATGCAGCACATGTTTGCATAGTTAAACAAATATTCTGCAACACTAACTGAGAGACTTAACATCTATCAAGCCATACCTTTTCAGAGGTCTGTGTCATCCCTGGTCCAGGTGCTGTTTGAAGCAATGGTGCTGTTCCTGTTTGTACAGGCATCATGTCATGGTATTCTTTCTAAAGAGACACAACACGTGGGTAGATGTCCTCAAACTGAGCTCCTTAACTCCAGACTCTGGAGTGGAACATATTTGTGTCATCACAATTGCTCTTGTCAGCTGTTTGCTTTTGGTTTCTTTCAGCTTCAACCTGGCGCTGTGGAATGTGTGGTCATTCTTCACTCCCTTGCTGCTGTTCACTCAGTTTATGGGGGTCGTGATGTTCATCTCACTCCTCGGATAAGTTCAAGGTAAGATCCCTGGAGTGCTGTTCCTAACAGTGAACTGTGAAAACGTCTTGCAGTCACTTCCTGACAGTACTCTTGACAGACTGCCTGGGAACCACTTCCTGTTGTGTCTGCACCAAAGCACTTCACCATTGAACACAGCTGCGAGGACTGAGCCCACCTCCACAAGGTATAATTCTAAGTGCCCGTGTGTCAGGGACCGCACCCTGCCTTTCAAAGAACTCATAAAGACAGCATGTGAGTCTTACCGTGGGTAGGTTCACATGAGGCCATTTTATATTGTGTGGAGGATCTCAGAGAGAAGTAGTATGGAAATAATGGGTGATCCTACCCAATTTGGGACAAATGCTGCCGTTTTCTGTAGATATTGGACAGATAGATATATCAGCCCTTTTTTTCTTTTTTTTTAAATCCTTTCGGGGCTGGAGAGATGGCTCACTGGTTACGATCAGTGGTGCTCTTCCACAGGACTTGGGTTCAATTCCCAGTACCCACATTGCGGCTCACAACCATCTGTAACTCCAGTTTCAAGAGATCTAACACCTTGACCTCCGCATACATCAGGCACACACAGGCAAAACATTCATGCACATAAAACAAAAGTAAATCTTAAAAATTCTTCCTTAGGAAGTAGACTCCCTGGTTAAAACAAATCTGTTCTTTTAATACTGCTTAGAGGATTCATGTGTTCCTGTGCCTTCTCCCCTTGCCCTGGTTGGGAGTGTTGATAGACATGTATTACATAAGTGTACATATTGAGAATGGTCATGTTGTGATTAGGGTAAAAAAGATATGTAGTCCCTGATTTTGGAGAAACTCACCTTTTCGGGACCATGTGCAGACAGTGGAGGTGGGGCTCAGGGAAGTGGAGGTCAGCAACTGAGCAGCACTCAGGACCAGGTCTCCTAACTGATGGCGTGTGTGTGCCCTGCAGCCCTCATGGGGAGTGTGAGCAGAAAGAGATTCATTTGATCCTCCTGTTGCTAGTCGGATGGGAGTTGCTGACTGTCACCATGTTGACACAGACATTGTCCTCCAGCATTGCATGCTTTTTAGAGACTGCTGAGACTCATGGGACCTCTTGTCCCATGCAAATGTCATGTCAAGCAGTTCGGGGGTCCCTGTATCATCCTATTCCCATAGCTTTGACTGACCCTGGCCCCACCCCACTCCCACACACAGTGGCTGAGATCTTGGGCTCTGGCTGTTTGGTTTTTGAGATGTTTGGGTGCTTTTGACTTCCATGTTCCTGGATGTATGGTATGTCACACGTATATCTGGTGCCCACAGAGGCCAGAAGAAGGCATAGGATTCCTTAGGATCAGAGTCAATTAATTAATGAGTTAATTTTTGTTTGTTTGTTTTCAAGACAGGGTTTCCTTTGTGTGTAGCCCTGACTGTCCTAGAACTTGCTCTGTTTACCAGGCTGGCCTTGAACTCTCAGAGATTCACTTGCCTGTGCCTCCTGAGTTCTGGGATTAAAGGTGTGTGCCATCATGGCCCGGTTTATATTTTGTTTTTAAATAGAAATTCATTAGTTTGCCTAGCAGTGCTAGTGCATGCCTTTAATCCCAGCACTTGGGAGGCAGAGGCAGGCGGATCTCTGAGTTTGAGGCCAGCCTGGTCTACAAAGCTACACAGAGAAACCCTGCCTCAAGATGTTTCACGTGGCATATAAATAAATGCTCTTTTCTTCCAGACTTAAGAACATGGCCATTTAAAGTGAGCAAAGTATCCAGCTTGTGCCACTGACCTGAAGGAGAAGCCTAGTGTGTGCTGGCGTCTCTGCAGTGGGTGGTTCCCATGGAAAAATTGTGACTTTCTAAATCTGCTGTTGAAATCAGAATAAATGATTTTCTCTTGGGTGTTCTCAAACAAGTGATTAGTTGTCAGCAGTTTGTGTGAGCCAGAACCAAGACGTGCGACTCTGTGAATTTTGGAGACCGTGGTCTCCTGTTAGAGAAGCACAGTGTGCCCACAGTTTTAAAGGGACTGAAGACTAACTGCCCTTGTATAAGGTGACTGGACGCAAGTATGAAGGAATTGTGCTGTAACCTTTAGTAGTCACTTGACCCCTCGTATTTGTCACAGCTTTTTAGGGGACAGACCAAAGGGAAGCATTTTACAGTTTCCTATTACTTTGAATTTTACCATTATGTAAGTTATTGGGGTTTTGGCATTTTTAAATATATGTACTCTTAATAATGTTTAAGTATATATAATTTTTTCTGTAACATCAATAAAATATTTTTATAATTTTCTTGTGAATTTTGTTAATACAAATTTGGGGCTAGCTTCTGTTTCTAGCTGTTCACAGTTTGGGTTAACTGAAAATAATGAAGCTTCATTTTAGAGTAGGTTACCCTGTTCTTCATTGACCCAATAGCAACCAGTGTTTGTGCTTTGCAGTGTAGATGTGCTCCCATGATGCTCATCACAAGTGTAGTGCTTGTGGATTTGTTTCCCTGTGAAATGACTGAGGCAGTCAGCACTGGTATTTGGGCACATCACACACTAACTGGAGGACTTCCAATTTTGAAATTACAAACTGGAAGTAATACTTGTCTTTGGGGGTTAGGGAAATAGAAGTAATGTTTGTAAGGTACCCATACTAGTCTCCAGGACATAGTAGGACTCAGTCAGAGAACACAGGTGAGGAGGGGAAGAGAAATAGGTTTATGATGGGTCACACCACTTTGAACCTCGTTGTGACGAGGTGTGTGGAGACTGTTACTTAGAATAGAGAGTGACCAGGCAGAAGTTGGAGTCAGCTAGCTGGGGTTCAGCAATGAGGACCCAGGGCAGTCTTAGGGGAGCATGGCTCTGACAGTGGCTCACATGTGTTTTATAAACTACCTTGGCTTGATTTTTTTAATATTTAATCTATGGCCTTAAAGCATGGTTAGACAAAGGCCAAATACTGTGGGCAACTAAGATGGTAGAGAGAAGACTCGGTTACTTAGGAATTTTTTAATACTTTCGCTTGAGCCAGGCCTGCTGGCACTACTTGAAGCTACTCAGGAGGCTGACATGAGAGGATCAAGTTCAAGGCCAGCCTGGGCAACTTAGTGAGACCCTGTCTCAAAGTAAAGAAGGTTGGGCCTCTAAAGTATTTGCCTGGCATACATGAGACCCTAGTTTCAACTGCTATTGTATTAAATAAGCAAATACACACACACACACACACACACACACACACACTATTCCTGGTACTTGCCATTCCAAACTGCTACATGCTGTTCCATTTTTACTTGTAATTTTGTGTGTGTGTGTGTGTGTGTGTGTGTGTGTGTGTGTGTGTGTGTGTGTGTGTGTGTGTGTGTAAGGGTTATATGCAGGCATCCACAGAGGCCAGAAAAGGGTGTTGAATCCTCTGCAACTGCAGTTTCAGGCATTTGTGGCTGCTCTGTGTGGATGCTGGGAGCTGAACTGTGGTCCTCCTAACTGATAGGCCATCTCTCCAGCCCCCAACCTTTGTTCTTATTATAACCATTAAAGAAATGAGGGATGTGATGAATATTCACATTAACAGTTGCAAATTCTGATCATCAGGGTTAGGACTGTGACAGATCAAGCTCTGATTCTGACAGCGTGAAGACCAAGTTTGACGCTGGCTCCTGGTGCCCAGGCTCTGATTCAAGCTTTATTGTCTTGCTTGAAGTACCTCTGGGTGGTTCCAGTGAGCAGCCTGGCTGGAGGCAGCACTGGAGAAGCCAGGGTGTTAGGATGGGTGGGAACATATCCAGATAGTAATGGCATTTAGTTGGCGATGATGGAAACCAGATGAGGGCTTCTCAAGTCTACTGGGACCTATCTTGGGAGACACTGGCTTTTCCAGGAAACCTGAAGCAAGATATAAAGTTCCTGACTAAATTCATTTTTTGTAACAAAAAAATAGTCCCTGGGGGCTGGAGAGATGGCTCAGTGGGTAAAGCTCTTGCTGTGCAAACATGAGGTCTGGGGTTTGGATCAACCAGAACCCATGCAAAAGACAGATGTAAGTGGAGTTCACATGTAATCCCAGTGCTTAGGAGTCAGAGTCCCTGGAACAAGCAGCTTAGCCAGACTACCCTAAATGGCAAGCTGTAGTAGGTTCCGTAGAGACACTCCCTGCCTTAACATGTGTGGTGGAGTTATAGCAGAAGATCCCCATGTTAACCTCAAGCCTTCACATGCATACACATGTACTCAGCACATATATATGCTTCCACACATGTAAACATGCATGCATACACATGTGCACTATACATACTTCACTCTCTCTCTCTCTCTCTCTCTCTCTCTCTCTCTCTCTCTCACACACACACACACACACACAAAAGCCTGGTTCCCCTTAAGCAAATGAAATTCATCAGAGGCTGTAGGGGAGAGCCCACATACCCAAGATACTGTCCATGCCCCTTTGGGGTGTGGACAGGGGTGCATGGGACAGACGAGAGATAAAAGGGAGAAGAGAAAGTAAATCTTTCTCTTGCATCTTGGCTGCAGCTCAGAGACAATAGAGTGCTTCCCCTGTAAGTGACTTCTCTCTTCAATAAAGTATCCTAGACTCCTTCTTTCCCTGTTTTACTGATTTCCACAACAGCTGGTGTCAGAAGTGAGATGTATGTTGCCTTTTAATTGGTTCTAAAATGGAAATGAGTCCTGTGTTGTGATTTAAACTGAATTTATCTCTTGCAGGGGTGTTTTTAAAAACATACCTCAGATGGGAATAGCTAGGGATGGCTTTGATTAGGACCACAGGTGTATGTGGAGGAACAAACTCACTGATCTCAGCTCTGTAAACATTCGTTTCAAACTTGACCGGCCCAGCTCTGAACTGGGGAGAAATGACATGAATTGCTTGCACTGGGGAAAACGGGGAGGAGTTCCTTTGTCTTTAGCCTGTAGTATTAGATTGTAGCCATAAGGGTGACTATCCCAGTCAATGGCCCCGATGGCTTTGACTTGAATGTTTTACTCCCTGGGAAAGACCTCACTGTTTTAAACTGCTGAAGAAGGTCACCAGCCACAATGCTTAAAGACGCAATCTCCCCATTGGCACCCTGGTCACAGTCCTCCACAGTGACAATAGCGTATGCTGGGTCCTTCTCCAGCTCAGAGGGTAATAATGTCACTGCTGTTATCACGGGTGCACACTCGTTGGCCTGTTCCATGTGAACCATCAGCTTGGCCATGCTGCTGATCTCACTGCTACCGCACAATTTCATTCCCCGGTCCACAGCCAGGATCTCCAGTTCATAGAGCTGGGTCTCTAGGAGATCAAGCCTGCCTGTCAAAACAACCACACCACTGGTTGGGTAGATAGCAAACATGCCAGTTCAGTCTTTAAAACTGTAGTAAAATTCACTGTTGGTTCCAATATCTGAGTATGCGGCACTGACTCTTGCAATACTGGTCCCTATGGCTGTGTTTTCGGGCAAGGAAACACTGTAAGAGGTGGGTGAGAACAATGGCCTCAAGTGGTTTGTATCCAGTACTTGCACCCTTACCTTTGTTTGACCTCAGCACTGGTGTTCTTTTCAACGGCTTTGATTATCAGTGTGTATTGGTCTCTTACTTCTCTATTAAGGATAGCTGTATTTTCTCCTTTGGTCCTTATTCTTAGAAAGCAAAAGTCTCCAAGAACATACTCTTCCTCTTTGAACAGGTTTTTGCTGTCTCCTGAGATGGTTTTGTACCTTATTTCCCATGAGGAGTCTTAGATGTAGATGCCCATCTTTCTAGAGTGGCCAACATAGGTTTTTGCTGCAGAGTTTTCATGCACAGTGGCATTGTATTGAAGTGTGTACACTGTAGAGATGGGCTCGGTTCAAGTCTTTGGCTTCCATCACTATCTCCAAAATGCTGGAGAAAGAGGAGCAGAAGCAGAAGCAGAAGCAAGGTCAAGTATCTCCCCATTGTTTAACTCCTGGCCACTACAAAGTTGGCTCCAAGTAGCAGTGCCCGGGTGCTAAGTACATCCCGGGGCGGGAGACCGCTGTGCCGGAGCCGCACTGGGCTCGAATGTCTGCTTGGCGCTGCTGGCCAAGAAAGACACTGAACTACAGAAAAAATTTTGAACTAAACCAACTGGTGTATTTTAAGGATGTTAGGACCTCAGTTTGGAAACCAGGATATGTGTTACACCAGGGAAGGGGTTTTGTCTTTGTTTCCACAGGAGAAGAGTGCAGCTGTGTCAGGGCCCAGGAGGAAGGCGGGGGAAGGCTACACTCTACATACGGTTGTCAGGAGTGGGATATGAACTTCCACGTAGAATGACAAAAGCTTTAAAGGAATTTTAGAAACAAAAAAACAGAGAGAAGCACGGCTTCTTGGTAGCAGCATTTTTCTCAGGTGGGCTCTGTTTTGCTAGAGACAAGCAGAGACTCACGTGGCTCACTTAAGGAGTCTTCCTGACTCAGCATAAACAAACAAACAACCCCCCCCAAAAAAACAAAAAAACAAAACCCAGCAAGATTCTTTTAAGAGGCTCTGCTAAAAATTGAAAGGTATGTATGTATAGCTGGAAGTGGCAGTGGCCACATCTCCAAGCCGGCAGCTTTTGCTGGATGTCAGCATAGACTGAGGCGGTGTGCTGGAATCAAACTTATGCCCGCCATCTTGGAAAAACTGCAGTTTAAACAGCCATGGTTTTTAGCAGATAAACGTGGCCAGAAAAACATAAAGATTTACAATAAAGTCAGATTCAGATGAAGAAAAACCTCTAAAGGTTTACAGTGTGTTTAAAAATATATGTAGGATTGAGAGAGAAAAAGAAATGGCATAGTGGTAAATAAATGGAGAAGCTGGCTGTGGTGGTGCATGCCCGGTAGGATTTGCTCCAGAGGCAGAGGCAGGAGGATTTCCAGAGAACCCCTGTCTCAGAGAAATAA